ATTAATTAATTATGCAAATTTTCAAATATTAAAAATATTAAAATAATAATTTTACATGGTTACAGGCCTCCCGGTATATTTTTATTCAAATGTTGATTTTGACCAAAATTCAAATCTACAGGCGTTGTCTCCCGTAAAATATTATATAAAAATCTCTAATTGTTAGACAATATACCACCAAAGTTTTCTGTTTCTAACTTTAATTTTTATTAATTAATAATATTCGTTGATATCTAATCTATTCTGCTGGCATCACAGCAACATTTTTTAAAAAAAACATACCTATAGCTCTTGATATTATCTTACAATAAAACAAACAAAAATTCTACCAATGAATTCTTTTGTGGATCTTTATGCTAAACTTGGCTCTTTGTTGACCTTTTGCTTCATTATAAATCTACAAGGCTCATTCCATAATGTAAACCAGAAAATTGATAAAACAATTAATTCAATAGAGCCTGAAAAAAAAAAACAAATCAAAATAGTTTTAAATAAAAAGGCCGAGCTGGAACTCATCATTTAAGAAGATGGTGATCATAATTCGTGAATTACTTGGAGAATTGCTACTTCCATTATCAAAAAATTCTGTCAAAGAAAAGAAAGGGAGAACGAGAATGATGGTGATAATGATAACAAGAATGAGAATGAGAATGATAATGAGAATGAGAATGATAATGAGAATGAGAATGATAATGATAATGATAATGATAATGATAATGATAATGATAATGATAATGATAATGATAATGATAATGATAATGAGAATGAGAGTGAGAATGATAATGATAATGAGAGTGAGAATGAGAATGATAATGATAATGAGAATGATAATGAGAATGAGAGTGAGAATGATAATGATAATGAGAGTGAGAATGAGAATGAGAATGAGAATGAGAATGATAATGATAATGAGAATGAGAATGAGAATGACAAATCAAATAATAGGTAATGGATTAGTGTTCAATGTCGCAATCCAAAAAAGGAAACAAATGGTTGCAACCATCATCAAAAGTTGCAGCCGGAGGCCTTAGTTTATAGAGGTTATACACCAATGGGTGGTTGGGATGTGCGACATTCTAATCAAATCCAATTTATATTAATACTAATGTTGTGTATTGATTGGATATATGTAAATGTTTTGTGATCAGAAATTACATAGTAAGCATAGTAAAATATACTAACACTGTTTCAAATTGTTGTCTCTTTCCATTTTCAAAGATATAGACACAAATTTATGTAAAAAGATAGTATACGGTGTAGTTTAGAGATACGAAGAATTTTTTGCTCTACTTAATTTATTCTTGAGCATATACATTTTGAAAATTGACTATTTTTTCAATATTTTCATTATGAAACTCTTCATTGCTCTAAACCACACATCACACACTATCCTTTCACATAAATTTGGTGTCTATATTTTTGAAAATGGAGGAGTTGCGAATTGAAAACAGTTGTTTACCAAAATATGCTGATCACATCGATTTTGGTATTCAAAATTTAAATTTTTAAGGACAGAAAATAAACATTGCTCTACGCCTACCTTTACAAATTCTCATAAATTATAATTAGGATGTTAATGGTCCGATCCAGACCAAATGGACCATGGACCAAATCGGTTTAGCCTTAGACATTTTCCCGAATACATATGTAAACTTGATAAGTCGGTCATGTGGGGGTGAGCTCATATGACTGACTTATCGAGTGACCGGCTTATCGAGTGACCGGCCTATCGAGTTTACATATGTAGAACGATTTTCTAAATTGAGAATTCTATACATGGATGATATTAATTAGATTTTTTAATCAACTGATATCGAATACCCCAGTAAAACATGGTGGTAGGATAATGGTAAAGGATTGGACCTTTAGTTAGTGTAGAGAAGGTGAATTTGTTAGGATTTTAGGGAATTTATCACAAATGAATTTAATAATCGAGAAGAGAAAATATTGCCTTCACAATCACCTGACCTCAAAAAATGAGCACGGAATTGGAGACTGCGCCGAAGAGGAATGAGCACAAATCCAGTTTCTAACAATAGGTGGCAACTAGATACTGAATTTTATTATTATTGTAAAAATAATTTTATTTTATTTTTTTCAATTGGCTTAGATAAACATAAAATTACTTTTCAAACCTTAAGCAACGTAAAATTTTATATTGTGATCAAAAACTTTTGTCCAATTAACATATGTAAATAAAAAATCATTATAATCATTAATGAAAAAGTATCTTTAAAGAGAAATATTGACAAATAGATAGCCTTTAAAATATAATAGTCTTTAAAAATTATCCACATTAGTATATAATATTGCTAAAATAGCAAAATAAAAATATATTAATTATTTTTGTGGTTTTTTATCAATTATTTGAAATACTTCCAATTCATCATATTTACTACCACTTACTATATTAATGTTGCTATAATTACTACTTTTACTATAAATAGAATGACAACTTGGTATAAAACCAAGATCCAAACCATTACCAAAAACTGCTGAATATGAAGAATGACAGCGAATTGCAAAACCACAATTATTAGTAACATAACTAAACTGTGAAGAATTAATGTTATTTCTAATACTAATATTAAAAATAAAACTTTCAGTTGTGTATTTATATGTATTAGCTCCATTATTTAAATTCCAATTAAGTGGATTATAACCTCCTACTAATTGATCTGAATTTTGTAATTTGCCAACTACAAGGGTTTTGTTGAAATTATCACATTTTTGATGAAATGCAGCTACATTATTACCATCTCTACTACTACAATATATAAGCTTAAATTCATATTTAACATCTCTGAATGAATTATATGGTGGATTTTTTTTATCAATCCAACTTGCAAAAAGTAAATAAAGTTTTTGATTGATTGTTGTTGATTGAATTTTTGGAATTTTTGATGGCAATAAATTCAAATTTTTTTGATCATTGGCAATTATATTCCAAAATGGCTCTGGAAAAAGCTTTTGATATGGATATATTTTAGAACCAAAATCTTCTTTAGAAATATCTTGGAATCTTATTAGGGGAATAAATTCTTTTAATGTGTTACCCATATCAACAAAATTTTGTGGTGACCAATTTTTAACTTCATTGTTAATGATTTCTGGATGTCTTGTTAATCCCCATTTAAGAATATTCTCCCAAATAATTATTTCATCAACTGAAAAATTATCTATTTTAAGAATTTCCAATAGAATTGGTTTTTCCAATGATTTAAATTTGCTTGACTCAAATAATTCTTTACTATATTTTTCTAAATAAATATTTTTCAATTCCTTAAAATTTTCATTAGCATAAATAAATTGTAGAATTTTAACTGGATTTTCTTTTATATAATATCTATAATTTTTAATAAAGTATTTCATCATATATTCATAAAGTGACTCAGTACCAAGTTGATCTGCTGCAGTTATCAATTCTAATACTTCAGCTCCAGAATAATCTTCAAATTCAATTCTACATGTGTATAAAAATCTTTCAGCAATAAATAAATTATTAAACAGATAATCATTACATATACAATACAATAATAATTAAAATAAATAATATATTTATTTAAACTTACTTGAGAATAGGCTTGAAACACTTTTCACTAATATTAGCATTCTTAACAATATAATATCCATTTTCTTTTTCTGCATCACTTAATGCATTGCCAAAAAATGAACAATGAGCAGATATGATAGATGCATGTGCATGAACTTCTTTAATGTTTGGCTCTACACCAAGATATATTTTTACATCATAAAATTCTTCTGTATTTAATAACCTTTCATTTTCGTTGAAATATTTTTCTAAAATTGTTGAATCCATTTAATTTGCTTTTTTAATTAATTCACAATAAGTTATATTTAAGTGTAACATTCGTAATAATAATAGTAAATAAATGTTCCCTTTTGGGAAGTCCTGCTCTAATATTAAAGGCATCATAAATCTAGGGTTGTTAATGGTTTGGTCTCAAGTATCAAAGAACATGTGAACTGTTTGGACTGTTATATTTTTCCCATCATAAATGTATTTATTTCAATTTAATTTATTAAAAATTTTATTTTTTATTTTAATATCTCAAAAAAGAATATTATATTATTAGAAATTAGTGTCAGTTATTTATTTCCTCCAACTCTTTATTTGCTAAGAGTTAGAGTTTTGATTACTGACATTTAATTCTGACTTTGTAATATTCTAAGTTAGCTTTATTATAAAAACTTTGTTACAAATTATTACAAAGTTAAAGTTATTTTACAAGCATGTCAAATTTGAGCTTCTTATATACAATTAAATTAATTAGTAACAACTTCATTGCAATCTAGCATTCTAACCATGATACCTCACTTTAATTGTGACATAACATTCTAACTGCGACTAACTAATTTCAACATTATACAAATAAAAATAAAAACATAATATAGTTGGCTCGGTCTAAAGACCTCCTAAATTTTGGGCAAATTTTAAAAGTATAGAAGTCACTTTCTGTCCTACCTTTTAAAAAATAGCTCTATTAGTTGATAGAATATGTCTTTAGTTTTAATGTAACAGAGAGATTTTCTCAAAAAAATTATTTGTTGTAGAGTTCTATTCTTTTTTAAAACATGTGCTTACTATGCTCGCGAGGAATTTGTCCACTATGATCATTTCTAAATTTAGGAAAATTATTACTTAATTTAGACTAACTCTTGACTATCGTATCTAAGAAAACTAAAATCAAGTGAATTCCTATTTTTTGAAAAATTTTATTATATACGAATTACAAAATTGCTATTTTGAAATTTGGCCGCATGGCGCAGCAATAGGAGGTCTTTAGACTGAGCCAACCATACATTCATTGATCATTCAAGGAAAAGAAAAACGAATCATGATGATAAAGAAAATGATGGTTTTTTGAGTACACAAACTTCTCCCAAAAAACCAAAACCTCAAACAATGAAGTTAAAATTTAAAGGAATGGATATGCTTTAATAATGTAAATGCAATGAAGATTTTCCTTTGGAGTTAATTAATTTCCTTCAGAATAATAAAAATGGATATACATTGTTAAAAATAGGAAAATAAGTAGGAATAATAAGAATAAATTTAATAACTGCTTGTTGTGAAATTGTAGAGGTCCAAAATTATATATATGTTATAATCTTACATTGGGAAGTTAAACACATGTGGTTCAGTGCATTGTTCAATGTCATGTGCTGATCAACATAAAATCATTTTGTTCTGCAAAGGCAACATCAAACAATATGATAAAACACTAATGTGGACCAATGTGTAGAACAGTGCATTAATGTAAATTATTACATGGGCATACTGCAACAAAACCAGACAAAGTGAACATTTTCACTACTAAGGATTTCAGGGATCAAAATTTAGTCATTTTGTAATGTGTTTATAATTAACAGTTATATAATAATTCCATTTGTTAAGTGATACATAGAACTATCCCTATATAAAAATCATTAATATGAAACTCATCTACATTAGATCTACCATGGAACCAAAAAATTACAGCACCATTAGAAGTATTTTGAAAAAGGAACAAGGTGAAAAAATTGCTCCTTATATTTTCAAAATAAATGATACTCAGGCAATTGAAGCTTATCTAAGGAAAGAATAGATTACTTATGAAATTTACCAAGAAGAAAGAAAAATAATAAAGAAAGCATCATGATGACCAGATGGAGTTCCAATTATGGAAGTAATTCCTGTGTATTAGTTTATAAATTCGTTTGATAGTTTATTAATTTTTAAGATATATTGAATTTAGAGTTAACTCAAATACAAGTCAAATTTCCATCTTACAATATATTACATATTAAAAAATGCAAATAAAAAACAATATTTTTTTTTCCAGAAATATTAAATTAAATGTATCTTAGTTTGACTACACTGAAAAATTTTTTAATTTAATCTATCTAGAATATGTACTTTTTCTATCAATAGTAATTACTAAAAATAGGAAGATACTTTTCAATTCCATAAATTGTTCATTAGTATTAGAATAAACTGATTGTAGAATTTTAACTGGATTTTCTTTTGTATAATCCTCACATTTTTCAATAAAGTAGTTAATTGTATAATTGTAGAGTGACTCAAGACCAAGCTCATCCATGGCATTATTTGAATTATTGTGTACAATTTGTAGTAAAGATACTTCCACCAGAACCAGGTTCTAAAGTCATGATTGGTTGATTAGTTGGTGTGGATATTGTTGCATTTATTTCTTGGTTTAATTTACCAATGTTGATGGTATTTTCCTTTATTAAATGATTTAATATAAGTAATGATTGACATAAAGAAACCAAAGAATCTATTGATTCTTTTTGATCTAAATGATGAAGCGGGAGATCAATTTGTTGAAATGGGTTTATTATGTAAAATGTTTGCATTTTACAATCCATTATATTAATATCCATTTTTAACTCATGAAAATGAATTGATATAAACACAATATTATCTAATAATGATTTAAGATACTTCAGATTTTTGTTTTTCAATATGTAATATACATATTTATGTGCATCTTTCTGAAATTTACATAATCTAAACCTATTCTCATTTACATGTTTAATGTGATCATCCAGGGACCATTACTGATCTCTAGAAATAAATATTCATGATTAAAGAAATACCCATAGTTTTCCCCATAAGCATAAAAATCTGGATACCTAGTTATATTTTGGGTGGCATTTCTGAATTTAGTAGACTGTGCTGGACATCCATCCCTTTAAATAATAATACATATGTATTAACATATGTAATATCTATGATACATCATTATGATTAATATTATGATTAATAAACTCATGAGTTACCATTTAGATTCTGCAACTATATCATAGAATATGAAATCAATTATTTTATCCACAATATTATGCCCAAATGTCTTTTCATTTAAAGACTAGTGCTGTAATCCAAAAAAGGAAAAAGTATGGTTGCAAAAGTGGTTGCAAAGGTAATTGTGACCACTT